TGGGATGACCCACTCCTCTTCAAGGTGGGAAAGGATGAGATTCTTCGGAGGTGTGTTTCCGAAGAAGAGCAAGTGGATGTCCTCACCTTTTGCCACGAGGTTAACTGTGGATGACATTTTGGAGGACGTAAGACCGCCTTTAAAGTTCTCCAATCAGGTTTATTCTGGCCAACTCTTTTTAAAGATGCTCATAATTTTTGCAAATCTTGTGACCGTTGTCAAAGAATTGGGAATATTGGCCCAAGAAATGAGATGCCCCTTGTGAGCAATTTACAAGTTGAAATCTTTGATGTGTGGGGCATTGATTTCCTGGGACCGTTTTCCAAATCTTTTGGCTTTGAGTATATCCTTCTTGCTGTAGATTACGTGTCCAAGTGGGTTGAGGCTATCCCCATACGGACATGTGATGCTAATGTGGTCATCAAGTTTTTGCAGAGTAATATTTTGAGCAGGTTTGGATTCCCACGGGCCATTATAAGTGACGGGGGCAAGCACTTTTGCAACCGACTCTTCGAAAAGCTGATGAAGAAGTACGGAATCTCACACAAGGTAGCCACCCCATACCACCCACAGACCTCGGGGAAAGGCTGAGACGAGCAACAAACAAATCAAAACCATTCTTGAGAAGACGGTGAACTCGTCTCGAAAAGATTGGTCGAGCCGGCTCGATGACGCAATCTGGGCCCAAAGGACAGCGCACAAGGGAGTATTGGGGATGAGCCCGTTCTGGCTCGTCTACGAAAAATCATGCCATTTGCCGATTGAGATCGAGCACAAGGCATTTTGGGCTATTAAGAAGATGAATTTTGATCTTGATGCCGCCGGGAAGGAAAGGCTTTTGCAACTTTCGGAGCTTGAGGAATTGAGGAACGAAGCCTACGAGAATTCCAAAATCTACAAGGAAAAGACAAAGAGGCTTCATGATGCTATGATTGTCCGGAATAATCTAGTGCCCGACATGAAGGTACTCTTGTTCAATTCTCGCCTTCGTCTTTTTCCGGGAAAGCTAAAGTCCCGTTGGAGCGGACCTTATATTATCAATGAAGTGCTATCACTTGGCGCCGTCCGCTTACGTAATCCGGCTAATGGCGAATTGTTTGTCGTGAACGGGCAAAGAGTCAAACCTTACTTTGACGAAGAAGTTGGGAAGCACCATGTCGAGACCCTTAGTCTCGACGAACCCCCGTATCCTTGATCGAGTAATTGGCCGAGCTCCCGGCTTTAAACCGAGCAATTATTTGTACTATTTGTATTTTTATATACTCAAAAAAAAAAAAATCGGGAGATATTTGTGCAGCTCCCAGGTATCGCGCCGCGGCAAGATTCGCGCCGCGACAGAAAGACCGTCCCGAAGGCTCCGCGCCGCGACGCTGTCACGAGGCGAACAGAGGCCATTCGCGCCGCGCCGCGGCAGACCAATCCTTCGCGCCGCGGCTGATGTCGCGCCGTGGCGCCCATCTTATATTAATATGTCGCGCAGACCTTCAGTTTTCTTTACGCCATCAGCAATCTCTCTCGCGATTTCAGAAAAAAAAAAAAGAAAAAAATAATAATAAAAAACCCTCACACCCATCATCCTCGACTGACCACCATAACTACGGCCAGCCACCGCTCCGTCCACAGCCCCGACCTCCGGCGTCCCTTCATCTCCTGCCAAATCTCCATCCTCCGGGAGAAATCACTCCAAAGGCAAACGCGGGGTTACAAATATTTTTTCAGTCCAGCTCTCTAAATCCAGTCGTCTACTGAGCCTTAAGGTCAGATAATCAGTTACTTGTTCAAACAACCAGTTTAGGTGTTGAAATTGGGCATAGCTTCTTTCAAGTTTGTCACAAGCTTCTATAGTTAAATTCTGCCCACAAGGTGTTTGTTGATTTGTCCCAACCGCGGAAGAAAGCTATCTCGCTCGTGTATACTCCTTTCCGTCGAACATACCCACGCATCAGAGAAGTCGAGAGAAAGAAATAAGAGGTCTAGAGGAAGAATGGGCAGTCGAAGAAGGCAGACCAAGTCCAAAAGATAAGAGAACGGGTTAAGGAATAAGCTCTACAAAAGAAGAGGTATATAATGAGGGAGAAAAGGTCGCGAGATTGATGGAGAGCTTATATCCCGATTTACGGAAGAACAGTGTAAGTCACTGGTGGCGCGAGAATCTAAAAAAGAAAGAAAAAAGAAAAAAAATTAGGTTTGAAGGGGGTAAATCGAAGAAAAAAATCAAAAGCAGGTGGGGGAAAGAAGAAAATCGAAAAGAAAACCAATGCAAGTTGACGAGAACAATTGAAAGAATAATACTTACTCATCAACATGGCAAAAGCTTAGAATTGGGTGGTAAAAACAGTAAGTAGCAGTGGTTGATGACGACATAGAGCGACGGAGACTTGGGTTTTTTGCAAAAAAACTCGAGAGGAAATATTGCAGAGAGATTCGCACGAAGTGGAAAAATTGGAAAATGTGGCCAATGACATTATTTATTGGTGAAGGAAGAAGGAAGGGCAAGAGCTCAACAGACCCTGATCATCGGATTGGGCTCGAAATGGATGGACAAGATTGAATAGGCCAGATGTAAGGTGAGGTTGAAACTAGACCGTTGGATCGAGGTCTACATGATGAGCGAGCTGAAGAAAGGTAATTTGAAAATAAAACACGTATATAACCGTTGGATTAAAGGAAATCTTATGGTCGACATTAATGCAACATTTATTGGGTGCACCACACGGATGATGAAGCGGGTACGCAGAAAGGACCTTTGGACGGATCTTGACCTGACAGTGTAAGAGATTTGAAATTTAAATGTCTAACTCGAGAATGACAACTTTAGGTCGATAAGAATGTCTCGATTAAATAAAAACAGCGAGTGAAGAGGTAGATTAGGTCAATTACGAGCTCAGTAAGTGGGACATAAGAGACCTCAGTTACTCTTGAATCGCGTTATCCTAATCCGACCAGAGTGGTGTCGTCCAGGTGATATGTGATACCATACCGAGTTGACTAGACACAAAAAGCATTCTAGCTAAACCAGGTGAACTGGCAGGCCGATCAGAAGACATAAACCACAAAGCTCGCTAAAACATTAGGTCGATGATGACTCCACCGGATAAGAAACACGTCAACATGTCCAGCGAGGACCCTCAGATGTCCTGATAGAAACTCGACCTAGAAGTATACAGGTTGGTGGATTGACCTAAAGGACAGTACACAAACACATGGAGGAGACAATATAGCTCGATGCCAACCAAGTTGGTCGTACATTGTCTAATAGAGCAGGCTGAGAGATAAGAAAGATTATTATCAGGATAAGAAACACACATGGATTGAGACACATGGATTATGACAATCCAAACTCTACACATTCTATATGCTTACAGAGTTTTAAATACACTATTCATCGTCTTTTTAATATGTGAACGGACTTGATCGTCGGAGTGCTAACGTCGGGAACACCTTCTGGCCCATTTTGACAGGTCTTCGAACAGGTCAGGGAGTAGATCCAAGTCGTGCGAACCCGATCAAAGTCTCTTTGCACACCACAAGTGAAAGATGAAGGTGGAAACAAAAAAGACCTGGGCAACTGTTTTTCCTTGTGTGCAAGTGAAACTCCAGTTGACAAAGGAATTCGGGTTGAACTCTTTCTGTAATCGGGCATGGAGCTTACTACTGATTATACTAGGCCTAAATGAGGAACCAAACCCAACAGGCCATGACAAAAAAAGAAGGCTCTAAATATTTTCTTTTTCGTTAGAAAATGACCTCCATTTATTTGAAAAAATACACACGCATCTACAAATTTATTCTTTTTTTTATCCTTAGTTTTTTTTATAAAAAAAAAAAATATAAATATACTAATAGTGAAAAGCCGATTTATGATTTATCTTACATTTGGGTATAATTTGTGTCTAGATTTATTTATAATGTGGTATTTAAAATTATTAGTAATTATGTAAAAGTTTCATTTTTTTTTTGTTTTTTTTTTATGCAAGGCATTTATTTACTTTTTATTTTAGAGCTATGAAGCAAACATAAGCTATTGGACAAAATTAAAGAATTTGTAATAAAAAAATAGCAGTTGAGTAGAGCGGGTGCTTCTCCAAAACAAGTCATAACTCATAACCTTAAAGCTACGCTACACAACGATTAGTATCTTCTGAAATAAGGTTAAAATTAATGATACAATATAGATTAAAAAAGAGAGAAAATTAATTATATTGAACACGAAAGATGCTAATGATCACAAACCGATCAACTAGCATATAATACGACTTGGAATCAAAGACACCACACCACATCACAACTTGGTAAATATTAGTAAACCCCAATATAATTATAATTATAGTACGTACGAACTATTTATTCTCCATAGCATCACACTGACAGCCTTATTACTACACATTATTATATCATAGCCTACATTTGATTTCATGCATCAACAGTTGATTTTATATATTTTGATGACTTCAATGTTTGCGGAGGTAGGATTCGGCAATCGCCCCACCACCTCCATTGGGCAAGAATCCACCCGGCTTATGCACGTCTCCCGACCCATACACGATGGCCAAAATCTCCTCTGGAGTCCGGTCGTATGCCACTGAATTCTCGTTTCCAGCAAGCACATTCCCTGCAATTTTGCCCTCGGCACCTTGCGACTTATCAACTACTATGCCCTCGTCTTTCACCCCCTGCCCTCCGAGATTGTCCCTCAGGCTCGAGATCTTGCTTGTAAATTCCGACACCTTGAATCTGTACGGTTTTACAAGTTGATCGGCTCTTTCGTACAACATTTCCCGTATTACTGCATCCTGTCCTGATTCCACCGCCAAAAGACCCCCGACCAGCTAAATTAATTTAAAACACACACA